CCAATTCTACAAACAAAAATTTCTCTACATCCCAACATCTTAAGTTTTTGAAGGAAGAGTAGACGAAGGGCTTAACAGTGCCGTAGCTGAAGTCTCAGCAGAAGGAAATGAAGAAGGGCTCCCTAGCTCAGCAGACGACCTTACTGGAAATGAAGCAGTTGAAGTCTCAGGAGGGCCAAGAGCAGGCAAGGAGGCAGGGACCTCAGCTTCGAACGAAGCTCCAATGGCCAGCTCAGCAGGGATGGAAGAAGCTACAGAAAGCTCGGCAGCCATGGGAGTAGAGGTGTCTAAGGAGGCAGAAACATCTTGGTATGAAGTCCCAAATAAAGGGTTGAGCCCTTCAGAGTCTTTGGGCACATCTTCAAAAATAGGAGGAGTAGGAGCATCTTCCTCTTCTTTATCAGACCCCTCGGCCTCTTCCTCAGGGGGAATTGAAAAGTCAAAGTTCAGTTCAGGGTAAGTCCTTTCAGCTATACCCTGGAAAACAATCCACCATTTTACCCACCAGGTGAGAACGTCATCCTTTAGCTGGGCAATCAGCTTATCCTTTTTCTGGATGGTAGTGTTTCGTACCTCCAGCGCCTCCTTGACAGCCTCTACCTCCTCCCTGACAGCATCATTGGCCTCTGCTAGCACCTCGTACTCCCTCTTCACGTTCCTGAAGGAAGCCAGAGCATCAAGGGACTTCCGGCTCTCCTTGATCCAGTCATCAGTTTTTGACTGGAGGTCTTCCTTAGTCTTGCTGAGCTCCTCTTGTTTGGATTTGGCAAAGAAAAACTGCTATTCCACTTGTTCTTGCAATTCCTTTACCTGGACCTTAAGGTTATTATTCTCAAAAGCTAGATTGGCACACTTTAGCTCAAAATTTTTGAAAGCATTGGCTGACCCCTCCAGGGCTTGGATTCGCTTTAACAAGCTGCTTATTTGAATGACAATCTGAAGACAAACATGAAAGATTAGTGCAAAGGGAAGAGCGCAGGACATCCAAAAAAAAAAGAAAGGAGAATTTGACAAATTAGAATCTCACCGAGGTACAGCCATACAACGCAGTGGAAATACAGGTTCCCAGGGGTACATAAGTGGCTACATCAATGTTAGACTCTGGGATAATGGAGGCAATGACTTCTGCAACACGCTTCACATCGGTAATAAGAGAATTCTCAGACTTCGAGAAGACCCCTTTGCCAGTCATGAGAGGTTGGGAGGTCTCCTTGGTTAATGTAGAAGTAGCACGACCAAGGAAAGTGCGAGCAGTATCCAAGACCCTCTCAACTTCAGATGCAGAAGGGGAGGTCTGGTCTCGCCCAAGAGCATCTTTAGTGGCAGGTCGGGTCCCTTATGGGAAAGGAAGTCCTGAGGTTGGTGAGGCATGCAGTGGGGATAGTGGGGCTTTCTGGATAGAGGTAGAGGCAGAGGCAGAGGAAGTACCTATTTTCTGAACCTTAACTCGAGTAACTGGGCTCCCACCAGAACTGCCCTCAGCCTTGCGCTTGGTACCACCCTTGTTTTTCTTCTTTAATAGCTCTACCTTAGCTTGGAGCATCTCAGGGGTAGGCTTCATTGTAGAAGACCCTGAGAGATTTGACTTGAGTTGGTTAGTCAAAAGGAAAAAGAAAGGGAGGAAAACAATGAAACCAAATAAGGGAAAAAGCACATTACCTTCTACGTCCTCAGGTCGGATAAAGGAAAGTGGGGTTGGAGCTTCTATCAATGTCTCAAGAGGACCGAATCCCTGTCTTCCTAATTCTCAGGACTTAATGAGCTCAAAGTACTTCTCTGGATTACACTTAGCCAACTTCAGCTTCACCCACTCGTCTTCGGCGCTGAGTTCAAGTCGAATGCCTACAAAAAAAAAAAAAGAAAAAAAAAGAGGCAACACCAAAGATGCAGAGGTCAGGAAAGCAACTCATAAATCTTCATACTGCAGTTCAGTCAGGCAAGAACTCACCTAAGTTATCTGGGGCTGTCCAGACTTTGGGAATCCCAAGAGTGTCTGTTTTATCAGCAGGGTTGTATTCCCAGTTAACACCCCCAATGAAAAAAAAATCTTTTTCCAGCCTTTATGAGAACTCGGGAGGTGTGTGATGATCTGCCTAGACGAGGTCCGCTTAGAAATATATAGAAAGCCCTCAGTTGAGATAAGCTTAACATTGAAGAGGTCCATAAGTAGAGAAATGGTGGCAGTCCCAAGCCCATGTTTCTTAAAGAAAACCAAAAGACCTACTAAAACACCCCAAAAGTTAGGAGAAAGCTAAGTAGGGCAGACATTGAGGTGCTACAGAACATTTTTGATGAAGGGGTGCATAGGAAAATGAAGGTCATTCTCGAAAGCGGCTACAAAGAAACAAACTCTTTTGTGCACTTCAGCAACGTATGAGGTGAGTTTATCCGGACACCAGGGCTAAACACCAGGGAAAAAGTCAAAACAAGCACTAAGAGCTTCCATGAGAATAGAATCCACTCCATTGGGACCCACGAGCTCAGCATGGCTAAGGGTAGCCCCCATATCCGCTGCACTATCAGGAATCCCAACCTCACTCACCTTACCCGTACCCTTGTCAGCACTAGGAGGTACATGAGAGGAAGATGAGGGGAGTTCCTTGGAGTCCACCTCGGTATCGATAGCCTCAATACCGGGGAAGTTGTCAATCTCGTCACCTACATTCTCTAAATCAGAATCTCTTTCGATAGACCTATCGCCTGAGAGGGAAACTGAGGAAGGAGTTGCTCCAGAGGAGGTAGACATGATTGACAAGGAGAAAAGCAAGTCGAAAGAATGATAAAAAGGAGAAATACTAACTAAACACCCCCTGATAATCCTAGGGTCAACACTGTACCTCCCAACAGTAAGAATTCACATAGTGGAGTTCCAATCCACAAAGCTGGAAAGAGGAGATAGACAACGATCACGATTCCAAAAGAAAAAGAACCGAAAAACCCAGAAAAATAATAGCCACCTCGAAGCGAGGGATCTAGAGTGAGGAAAGGCAAAAGAAAGAGAAAAGGGCAGAAAGAAGCGTACCTAGACAGGGAAAAGAACAACAAACAACAACCAAAGGACAAAATTGGAGGAGAAGAACAAAGCAGGACTTCGAGTCGAACCCAAAAAACATAGTCTTGAGTAGAAAAAAAGAAAATCGTGTGGAGGAAAGCCCAGAAGTCGCAGAGATAAAGAGCTGGAGACGAAGGTGAACAATGTAGAAGATAAACGGTGGTTTTGTGCAGTTTTCTTTTAGCCGTTTGAGTATTAAGGCTTGAAAGACATGAGATGAGGCGTGTGCGGGAACCAAAGGAGCCATGATTGCTATAACCTTCAAAAAGCCTCTCCCACGTGCATCTCACATACAAACTAAGGTCAGCTAGATGCAGGTCTGGTCTAAGGTGAAAGTAGCTCAGCCTATGCCCAAGCTCGCTTGGGCCAAGGGCTGGGGGACAATTGATGATACCTCAAAATAAATCTCAAGTGCTAGCTTAGGAGGTCAGACTAGGCAAGCAGAACTCGGAAGAGTAGAGCTGGAGGTCCCCTCAAGATAAGCAATGACAATGACAACCAATGCAACAATTGGATAATCACGAGAGGTTCCTAAAACGTTAGGAAACTATAATCAAGACACATAATCTCACCCAACCAAGATCTTCCCCTAAAATTAGGGAGAACCCCACGAAGTAAGGGCAAGAATCTCGGCCAAGATCCCACTTAGCAGGGAATGACCCTGTAAATGCAATGTAACACCTCCTAACAGAGGGGGGGGGGGAACCCTAGTGGCACAAAGAAGCCATATCAACCTTGTAATCACCATGAATGAAACAAAAGGAGCAAGAGTCTCCATTCCAAAGTGGACTAGCTGAGCTCTCGAGCTGGTGAACAACTATAATTCTGTAGTCTTAACTTCCAAAACTCTGGATATTATTGCATCATCATAGCAACCTAACGGAATCCCAACCCATCTTTTATAAAAGTGCGTTAACACCATCAATAGGCACAAAGCCCTAAGTGGTGACGTGAAGATCAAGCTACTAATTCTTCGAGGAGAATAGCTATCGTTGGGGATGTGCACTATTTTGAAGTAATGACTATCTCAATAATTGCTCTTTTACGTTTGTTAACTCTTTCTAGACTCTTGAGTTTTGATCTAGATTGAAGCCATAAGCTAAACCTGATATGCCTTTTGACGATTTGGGATTAACTAATGAACTAGGCCTAGACCTGATCTATGAACTCGTCAATTAATACTACTTCAATTCCGATGCAAGGAGCGTGAACAGATCAAATCTGGACTACAATTTTTCCCGTCTTTTGTAATTTTCAGGCACTGCACTAAAATTAGCCATGATTGACATCCGATCATCACCGCTTTTGATTATCCCGATTTGCAATGCAATCGTCAACTGTGCGTACTAGGTTAAGTCATCTGCAAACAATAGAGACCACTTCAAACAGCCATGTCATTACTTCCTACCCACCCATATCTGGTGATACTTCGTCATTGATGACCATGTATGTTCGTTTCACATTATTATTGTTTTTTTAATAATTGGAAACAACATAATATTTCTCCACGACTTTTGACTAGAGCAATGAAACAACATATGATTTCTATAATTTAATCAAACAATGGATTAATAGCTATTATTTCTGAGTTGTAATTAGTCACTGATGTGCACATTAGGTGAATTTGTTTTCGAATATTCCTACTTTTCTTCTGAAAATCCTTCGCCTGCGTTCAAAGGTCAGTCAAAAGTTCAGATTCATCGACTCATTTTTGAATACTAAAAGACCAGCATTGAGTTGAGTCCATATTTAAACATAAATAATCAAGGAACTGCTTACTCGTTGAAGGTGACATGTTTATACAGGCATGTTACCCAGTAACCACTCCCCAATTTCACTGGAAAAAGACATTCGTGAGAGAGGGAGTATTTAAGCTAGAGTTCTAGCTAACAGGCAAAGACACACACGCACGCGCACACACACACACACAGAGCAAGGCATCCCACCCATGTCTGTGCCTAAAAATCCAAGTTTATTGGAAGAGGAGGAGGAGAGTCCTGAGACAGCAGAATCCATGGAGCCTGAGCTGTACAGAGCTATAACAGAAGGCAACATTCTTGAATTCGTTAGAGCAATGCAACTAGCATCTTGTGTTCAACTAAGTCCCCAGAAACACACTGTTCTTCATTTAGCAACAAGCTTTGCTCATCATGAGATTGTCAAACTTCTGTGCAAGGACTTACCTTTCTTTCTTGGTGACAAGAATATGAAAGGTGACACTGCCCTCCACATTGCAGCAAGAGCTGGTGATTCACAGCTGATCAGTCTGTTGTTCCAATCAGATTTCCGAGAAAGCGTTTTGGGGGAGATGAATGAGGATGGTAATACTGCTCTGCATGAAGCATTGCGTTATGGTCATGAAAATGTGGCTAGAGTTTTAATTGATAAGAATCGAGATATGATGTATTCTGTGAATAAGGAAGGACAGTCTCTGTTGTATCTGGCTGCAGAAAAAGGATACGAGGCAATTGTTAGGCTTCTAATGGACAATCCAGTAGGGAATTGCAGTGCTGAAAGAAGGCTCAAAAACAAGTCACCAGTTTATGCTGCCATCCTTGGGAGGAACATAGGTATTTTAATACTGCCTTCTCATCTCCTCTCTTATCATCATCACTGTTACTTTGTTTTTGTCTTTGTTTTTTTTTTTTTTTGATCTCTTCATGCTATTTAATCGCGGAATCTTCATATGGTGACAACTGGTTATTATTCATTGAAAACTACTTGAACCATTAAACAAATCAACCCAAAATAACCACTTATTTTTCTTTTCTTTATCCTAAAAATCCATGCATTAGCCGGTCGGATAGTCGATCAAAATTTCATTTTAAAACAGTCTAAACATTTGAAATATTTTCATTTTCAAGGAGAACGAAATAAATCAGTGATGAAATCAAAATTTTAATATTTTGAGATGTTTCATAATGTTTCGATGTATTTTGTAATGTTTCAATGCATTTGTAAAATTATTTCGGAATGTTTCAAAATATTTCAAGATACTTTGGTATATTTCAACCATGTTTTGGAAAAATAATTCTTAATTTTTTTTAATTTTTTTATTCTGTTTTCAAAACGGGTCGAAACATTTTGGAAACTCATCAAAATGTTATCGTTTTTTAGATGACCGAAATAATACACCAAAATAAAATTTTAATCTTTGGCTCAAATGATAAAACTTTACGAGTTAATTTAATTAGTTTTTAGGTTTGAGTTTCGCAAGAAATAGACAATGTGCTTGGATGATTTTCTCTCTCTCTCTGTCTCTCTCTCTTGAAAGTTGCATCAGAGGATGAATAAAAGCGATGAGGGCCATTGTTGTTCAACAAACAGTTTTCTTAACTTGTGGTATGGCTTTGTAAATTTTATATAGTACATCAAAACAATATTTATTTACCCCCCCCCCCCCCACCCCCAAAAAAAAAAAAAAACAAAACATGGTTTGTGGTGTATAAACAGTCAAATTTTATATTTTATGAGGTTTATTTACAAAATGTCTAGGTTTCTATATAGAACAAGTAGTTGATCTAGTTTCACGGATAATGACCAATTCCATCCTTCTTCGGATTTGATCTTTTCCTCCATATTCAATCTAACTATACATATACATACATATATATATGTATATATATATTATAATTTATGTTATTTATTTTCAAAAATGCATAGATCACTTTTGTAAAATTTCCTCAGAAGAATAGATTGAATCCTTTCAATCCCATCAAAGCTAAGAATATATTACAACGGTGGTAATTTTATTGAAGAACAATAATGTTTTATAATAAAAAAATGGAAAAGCCATGATATTGGTTCCTTATTATGATCGAGAATTGTACCCTTAAAACTCGTAGTGGCTATTATACTCGGAATGCGAACAATTACACATAAATTATTGGCATTGAGTCATTATGAACGTCTCTTGTAAGACTTGAACTTAAAATCTCGAAGTGTTAATTATTGAAACCTTATCATTCAGTCGATAGCCTAATGGGTTGACCAAATCCACTTCTCTTTTGATGAAGATATAAACCATCTAAATTGCAAACTTTTTTTTTTTGGGGGGTGGGGGGACTAATCTAAAACAGTTTCTAGTACCATCTAGAAGACTTCACCAAGTGTAGTTCACCAGGAATTCAGGTCATCTAGTTGAGCTTTCTTTTATAACCTAATAAGCAATGGAAGCCCTATAGATCCCCTTCCACTAGATTTGCTCCCATCTGCAATTTTGAATAGGAAAATGACATTTGGACCTTTTGTGTTGATTTAAATCATCCTAACTATTAAATTTGTAGCACATCTTAACAAATAGTGGGGTCCATTATCAATTGAATAATAGAGTGTGATTAAGTAAATAAATAAAATTAGAAAATTAGGTTCAAGTAGTATTACTTTTTTGAATATTACGTACTTGCTGACGTCCACATAAACTTCTTGCCATGTGCCTTCTCAACATAAAAAAAAACAATAATTAGTCTCTAAGCCCGCTGTCATTGTAGATACTATATGTGAATGCATGTAACCTATTATAGAGTTTATAATTACTATAATTCACAAGTATCTTTCAAGGAATTATATAGAACTCTTTTCTTTCATATATAAGGTAAGCGTTCAATGCACTATGGACCACAATCAAGATTATAAGAAGGAATACAATTATAAATATTTGGAGACGTATCTTCCGAGAAATAGCTTTTCAAACTTGATGTACATCATCCACCAATTGTAATTTGGACAAGTTAGACGAATTGATAGTTTAATCTGAGTTTCACCTAAGTTGTATAGCCCCGAGTCAAAGTTCAATACTACTCATACTCCAAGTTTTGAACTCGAGTCACATGGCTTTGGACTAAAGTTGCACCCCTCTCATATGCCATGTCCAAGCAAGATTTTGAATACCTAAGGCAAATGAAGCTAGCTCCATGGGGTCAGATGGGAGGGTTTGTGGACCATGCCTCCATGGGTTAAATGAGAATTTTTAATCTGTTTAACATACCAAATGATAGTAACAGTGTCAAGTGGTATACATTACTAATAAAATATTTTATATCCCCAATGAATGACTGTCACCTATCACATTATCAGAATTTTTTTTAAAAAAAAAGCTAATTTTTGTATTCCACCGGCTAGTGTTATGACAACTCCTCGTTGGATGTGCACAACACTTGATACTTCTACGTGTTATGTACAACTCACTTAAAATTGGTTCGGGTTAAATGAAGCTAGCTCCCGGGTTTGGCTCACTGGATAATTGCATTTAGTCCATGGGAGTAGAACAATTCATACAAAAAATGGATTGATAAGCAAACACCCAAAATAATCTAAGTTATAAAGCTTGACTCTCTCTCTGCATCATCTGTGGTCAACTTAAACAAATTGCAAGTGGGGGTGCTTTTGGTTGTAATGACCCCAAGTGCATTTTTTTTTTTTTGCTACCATTTGGTAACACTTTTTATTCACTTTTTTTAGTATTTTTAATTAGCATTTATTTCTTTGTTCGGTTTTGCTCCATTCGTCCGAATTCAATCGAATAAATAATAGTATACAAATGCACGCATAAACGTGTATTACTTGAATACTATGATGTATAGATATCACTCAATAAAAAACGATATTACATGTTTGGCAAAATTGTTTTTACTTAAAAATTTACCCAAAAAAAACATTCCTTAAGGTTAAACTTTTAATGTGATTTTAGGCATCTCATATATTTTCCAATATGGTTGATTCTCATAAAAAAATTTGGGTGAAATTTTAGGTGTCCTGAAGATATTGTGGGAAAAGGACCAATCCTCTTTCCATTTAAGGTGTGACAAAGGGAGGAATCCTGTTCACTGTGCTGCATCGGTGGATTATCATGAAGGTGTCAATTACTTGCTAAATAAATTCTGTACTTTTGCTTACCAAAAGGACAAACATGGCTTCTCTCCCATTCACATAGCATCAAGCAAAGGCTACCTCAACACAATTGAAGAGGTGCTAAGGCACTGCCCAGATTCGAGGGAGCTACTCACTTTACAAGGTCAGAATATCCTTCATGTTGCAGCTAAGAATGGAAGAACCAAATCATTTACTTCCATGCTCAAAATGCCCGAGCTTGAGACGCTCGTAAATGAGAGAGATGGGAATGGAAACACACCTTTGCATATCGCCACGATACATGGGCATCCAAAGATTGTGAACAGTTTAATGAGGGATGAAAGAGTGAAAGTTGGGCTGCAAAACAAAGACGACTTGACAGCACTTGACATTGCTGAGGAATACATGGAGACAATGGCATCATTTAGGAAGGTATGCTCTTTGCACAATTTAGCAAGATGAATATGGTTAAGCCCTTGTACCATTAACTTGTGTTTTGCCATGGACCACAAATGCCAAAAATTTAGAGAAGTTAGCTTCACTACGAGGAAAATGCAGCGATATTTTCAGCAATGAATGGGCAAAATGGTTGTCAAAAGTACGACATTTGTTGTTGCTAAAACCTTTTACGATGATCTTGCTTCATTGCAAAACTATTATTCCATAATAATGACAAAGAAACTTTTCCTGCAACGAATTTTGGAACTTGTAGCTAAGATTTTTTTTCCATGAATAAATTTCTTATCGCGACCAATAATTTGTGGTCCCTAAAGACTTTTCCAAATGAGGCTAGCGCGACTGTGCATCCCAAAAAAAAAAAAAGGTTCATTGCTAAAACTCTCTTCAACCATAAATGATTTCTCCTGACAAATTTTGTTGTCACCAAAACTAATTGATTATTCTGAGAAGTTGAATTTCTATTGGAATGACTATTTGATTTTCCATGACAGATTTATGTTGACAATTATTTGTAATTAATACTGACCTCATTGTTATTCCACCATACAGAGGTTGACATGGATGGCCTTGAGAGTCGCAGGTGCTCCACGAGCTCAAAATACGAAGTTTACCAGAAGCAAAAAATCTAAACTTGGAAAACAACATAAAAAGAAAAATTATAGAGATCAGGTAAATATAATTTTGTTGGTGGCAACACTTGTTACAACAGTAACCTTCAATGCTGGTTTCACCATCCCTGGTGGCTATAACAACTCCAACCCTAATCAAGGTATAGCTACCATGCTAGAAAAAGTGAAGTTTCAGGAATTTGTGATATGCGACACCATAGCAATGTATAGCTCCATTATTGTTGTTGTTACTCTCATTTGGGCACAAGTAGGGGACATTAGCTCAATGCATGTTGCCCTAAAATTGGCTCGACCGCTTTTGGGGATAGCACTTGTCTTGACGTCCATAGCATTCATGGCTTCCATGTACCTTGTGGTGAGCAAACTCAGTTGGCTTGCAAAATTTGTGATGTTCATGGGCTCAACCTTCGTCATTGCCCTTGTGGCACTCTTCGTTCCACTATGCTTCTTAGGTTCATCAAATTACCTTATTTTCCGCTACATCTCTTACTATCCATTCCGACTAATGTTGTTTGTATTTGGAAGCTACACGGAGGATGATGAGCTACCATAGATAGGATTGTTTGAAAGAAAACAAGCTGTTTTCTACAAGTCTCTTATCGAGGTTCATACGAAGCCCAAGTAGAACTCCATCCTTTTTGTACATAGTCCACCATTATTGTGAATAAAATGGTGCTTTTAGGGGTCATGATCAATAAAGTGTTGGTCTAATACATCTTAAGGAATTAAACATGGGTTTAAGCCCTTAAGGTGTTTGGAATTCTAGAATTGGTAGAAAAAAAATATAGCATTAAGGGATATTGTGAATGAAGGGGGGGTGCTTTAATAGGTGTATTGGCCAATAATGTGTTGGTCTAATGTTAGTTTGTACTATTTGTTGTTTATATATTGTACTTTTGTGATTATACTTGTTTATACACTATACATACTTGTTTAAATCTGAAGGGGGAAAGGACATGTAAATTTGTTTGGGAATTATCAATTGAGCTTCATCATGCATTTATGTTGTGATGCTTCATTTAATGGTTTTATTTGGCTTGGTAATTGTAAATGATTACATGTGAGAATGGGTCTAGAAAAAAATTCAATTATTATTTTTCGAATGGAGCATAATGCTCACAGTAATGTAGGCATAATTGGTTGAGCCATGGAAACAGTTTTCATGGGTAAAACTAAATGCATCTAACTCTCGATAGACCTTGTAATAGGTGAGTCTTGTGAAATTGGGGATTGAATCAATTTTCTTGGGTAAGAGGGTATAGGTCAAACTAGAGAATGGGGATTGAATCAAAAATTGATGATTTGATTATCCTTCATGTACAGATTAAGGAGTCAATAACTTGCAAGTCAACTCAGTGAAGAAGCATAATTTTGCAAGAGTTCATACTACTAGAATTGCCTAAAATTATCATACCTTGTTTTGCTCCAATTGACTTCTTTTTTCTTTTGGGTCAGTGTTATCAATCTTCCTCTCTCATGCATAATCAATTTGTTCAACGCCGAAATAAATCCCTCTTTTGAACTTCGAATATATTACTTAGGATATTTTTTATTTTTTTCCTGGGGAGGACTATTTTGCATTGTCTATCAAGCTGTAGAAGTTTTTATGTCTCTCACCATTATATGTAAAGACGGACTACTTGGTTTTATAGCACATTAAGAGAATTACAAGGAAGATTTTTGAGAGATTAAAGGAGATATGTTTTTGTTCTATGTACATACTTTTGGTGTTTAGTAAAAGGCTTTGTGTTTTGGTGTTAGTTACTATGTGAATTTTTTGGTTTTTCTCCCCTCTTCCTATATCATATAGAGTTAGAAGAATCTGTTGTTGACCTTCGTGGCCACAATGGTTAAGGGACATTATCTTTAAGGTCATAAAGGAGGTGCAAAGTTTTGACAAAAATAGATTACGCATGAAGAGTTCAAGATTTGACAACTAGTTAGAGGATTTGGGCGTGGATTATGAGATTTGTGTAAATCTTGTACTTTGGCATTTAACTCATTTTATTTCCTATATACAGGGTTCTCCAGGCATAGCATCGAAAGCTTGAGTGACTTCAAGTGTCAGAGCTTGAAGTGTTTTAAGCAATAGAGTTTCTTTCTGTGATATTGCAGTATCGATCTGAGTGTTATTAGATCTCTGAGTGAACACTTTTTGAGGTTTGGAACAACTATCTTGTAATCCTATTTTACTCTTTTGTGAAAACATTCGATCATTATTGAACCTGGGCTATTAGTTGAATCATGTAAATTATTTTCTCTTGTGTGAATGTTCTTTTATTTTTTTCACTTACTTATGGGTGTCAATATTGATCCCAATTTGATTCCTGGATAATTTTTGCAACAAATTAGTATCATAACCCGTACCGATTCTGAGTACTATTCATCAAGTATTGTTCAATGGTATTCATCGAATACTATATATATAGTACTATTCAAAGAATAATAATCATCTGCACCTATTTTTCGGACCCCATGAGATTAAGTTTTCAAGTCATGGCGGCAAAACTTTCAAAGATCTTGAATGCTAAGTTTGAGGGGCAAAAATTTGATGGAAGGAACAATTTTATGCTTTGACATGTCTAAGTTAAAGATGTCCTAAATCCGACAAGGACTACACAAATCATTGAAGGGAAAACCTAAAGATGTGGATGTCGATGAATGGAAGAATTTCGATCTTTAGGCATGCAACACTATTCAGTTATGTTTGGCAAAAGAGATCACATACAATGTTATGTTTGAAAAATCGACTGCAATGATCTGGTCGAAGCTAGAAAGCCTATACACGACAAGTCTCTTACCAATCGATTGTACCTAAAGAAACAACTCTACTCATTTCGTATGAAGGAAGATACATCCATGCATGAACAACTTAACGAATTTAGTAGAAACATTGACGTTATGTTGGAAAATGAAGACAAAGCCCTACTTTTGTTGCCTTCATTGCTGAATCCTATGAGCATTTAGTCACCACATTTCTCTTCGGGAATGATACAATCGAGTACAATGATGTTACTACATCATTTCTTGCAAATGAGTTCAAAAAGAAGACTCCTAGTAATGACTCTCAGGCAAAGGGTTTATTTGTTAGAGGAATTATGAAGAACAAAAATCCTAGAAGCAACATATCCAGATCTAAATCTAGAGTCAAAGATCGAAAAAATTCTTAATGTCATTATTGTCATAAGAATGGGCACTAGAAAGTAGATTGTTCAAAGCGTAAAGCTAAGGATTAAAACAATAAAGATAAAGTGTCTGCACTGTTAGCGTTGCTGAAAAAAATTCGAATAATCCAAAAAATGTTTTGTTAGTTTCACATCATAATATAAATGCATCAGATGATTGAATTTTTTATTTTAGTTGTTCATACCATATATGTCCTAACAGAGACTGGTTTTTTCCCTACAAAGAAGTGAACGACGACACTATTTTGATGGACAATAATGTAGCATGTAAAATAGTTAGGATAGGAACTGTCAAAATCAAGATGCACTAAAGAATTGTAAGAACTTTAATAGACATCAAACACATTCTAGATTTGAAGAAGAACCTTATCTCGTTGGGTGTGTTAGACTCCAATGATTGCAAGATTGTGGCACAAGGTGGAGTTTTGAAAGTTGTATGGGGTACTTTGGTGGTGAGAAAAGAGAGCAAGATAAGAAATCTATATTTTCTATCTGGCAGTACAGTGACAGATGTGTAGCTGTGTCTACATCAAGGGATAGTGATTTGAGCTCTACTCATTTATGACATATGCATTTGGACCATATGAGTGGAAGGGGATTGAATTTGTTATGCAAACAAGGCATGCTTGTGGGCATCTAGACGACTAAGCTGAATTTCTATGAACATTGTGTCTTTGACAAGTAGTGCAAGGTAAAGTTTAGTACAACTATTCATCAAACAAAAGACACTTTTGACTAAATCCATTCGAATATCTAGGGTCCCTCTAAGGTAACCTCAAAAGGGGAATCTTGCTTGGTTATGCAACTAGAGTAAAGAGTTACAAATTATGGTGCCCTAAATTTCACAAGTTTGTGATCAGTAGAGATGTGACATTTGATGAGTTAACTATGCTAATTTCTAGCAAGTAGAAATATATTCAAATGGAGGAGGAAAATGATGATCCATGGAGGTGGAGTTTAGTACTCAAGAAGATATTGTTCGAGATGAAGGGAAATCAGAAGAGCAACCAAATCAACAATTTTTAGCAACCGAGAGGATCAAAAGAACAATCAAAGCAACAATTCGTTATGGTTTTGAAGATATGTTATCTTATGTACTTACTATGGTGGGTAATGAGCCAACTACATTCCATGAGGCAATGAACGAAGGTAATTGCAAGGAATGAAAAATCGTCGTGAATGAGGAGATGAATTCTTTTCACAAAAAGCATACTTGAGAACTTGTCAAATTGTCAGAGAGAAAGTGAGCGATTGGGTGCAAATAGGTATACACAAAGAAGGAAAGTTCTTCAAGAGTTAATGACATCAGATATAAAACAAGGTTGGTAGCCAAGGGTTATGCACAAAAAGAAGGGGTGGATTACAATAAGGTATTTTCACCAATGGTAAAGCACACTTCAATCCGTATGTTATTGGTCGTCGTAGTTTAGTTTTATCTTGAGCTAGAACAGTTGGATGTTAAGATTGCATTTCTACATGGGGATTTGGAGGAAGAAATTTTCGAGACTCACTCTGAAGGATTTAAGGTTGCTTGTAGAGAATCTCGTGTGCAAATTGAGGAACTCATTGTACAAATTGAAACAATTGTCAAGATAGTAGGACAAGAGGTTTAACACATTCATGTTGAAGCAAAGTTACACTAGAAGTGAGTATGACCATTGTGTGTACTTTAAGAAGCTACCAAATAGATCATTTGTTTACTTGCTTTTGTATGTTGATGACATGCTTATTGCTGCTAAAAATATGGATGAAATCAACAAGTCTTAATTGAGTAGAGAGTTTGGGATGAAGTAATTGGGTGTAGCTAGGAAAATTCTGAGAGAAAGAAACAATGGTAGATTGTGCTTGCCCCATCAGGAGTATCTAGTGAAGGTACTCTCTTGGCTTAATATAGAGAACTCAAAGCCTACGAGTACTCCTTTAGTTGCTCACTTCAGACTCTCATTAGCCATGTCTGCAAGTAGTAGGGATGATCGTGAGTATATGTCTCATGTTCCATATGCAAGTGCAGTTGAAAACCTTATGTATGCTATAATATGCACTCGTCATGATATTTCACATACAGTCAATGTGGTAAACAGGTACATGGCAGATCTTGGAAAATAGCATTGGTAGGCTGTGAAATGGTTACTATGGTATCTCCATGGTACTTTGGATGTAGGTTTGGTGTATTAATGAGATGGTAGTTTAGAGTTTCATATCAGCGATTTTGTGGATTCCGATTATGCTTGTAACCTGGACAAGCCAAGGTCTACAACAGGGTATGTTTTCACATTAGCCTGTGATCCGATCAGTTAGAGATCTATGATACAACTAACAGTAACTTTGTCAACAACCGAGGCAGAGTATATGGTTGTAATTGAAGCCGTGAATGAGGTTTTATGGCTTTGGATTTTGATTAGTGATTTGAGAATATCATGAAATCATGTTAGCATCTTTTGTGATAGTTTGAGCGCCATTCACTTGGCAAAACACTAAGTTCATCATACTATAACCAAACATATTGATATTCAGTTTCACTTTGTTTGTGAGATTATTAACGATGGAGAGATTTTTTATAGAAAGTTGGCACTAAAGATAATCTGATTGATATGTTGACAAGGTGGTTTCAGCAATCAAGTTCGAGCATTGCTTGGACTTGATCAACATCCTACAAGTTTGAGTGCCTTGCTAGGCACATCAGAGATGACGATTGGAAAAGAGTTTTCATATAGTTTAAATGTCTTCTAGCCAAGGTGGATAATTGTTAACTTTTGTGGGTAGATGAATTATTGGCAAGAAAAGTTAAGGGACCTTATTTTTAAGGTCATAATGGAGGTGAACAATTTTGCCAAAAAAGGATTACGCATGAAGAGTTCAAGATCTGGCAGCTAGTTGGAGGATTTGGATGTGGATCACAAGATTTGTATAAATCTTGTACTTTGCCATGTAGGTTATTCATTTCCTACATAAAGGTTTCCCCAGACAAAAGTTCAAGCATCAGAAGCTTGAGTGACTTCAGGCATTAGACAATAGAGTTTCTTTGTGTGCTATTTCGGTATCAATCTGAGTGTTATCAAATATGTGAGTGATACAAGTGAAATATCATAATAATTATATTTTGTAAGAGTGAGTACTTGTGAGGTTTGGAAGAACTACGTAGTACTCCTGTGTTTATTGTATAGTGAAAACATCTGATCGTTATTGCTGTGGACATAGGCTATTAACTGAACTACATAAATTACCTTTTCCTTGTCTTGTGTTATTGTTTTTGTTTTTCCACTTACTTGTGAATGTCAATATTGATCCCGATACGTTTTTTTGTGATTTTTTCGTAAGATTTTGCATTAGTTGATATTATTCCATTTTAATTTTTCAAGATGTCTTACACATAAAATCTCAAATTAGGACGAACTTATCAATGTGGTTATGCATTTTTTGAATATGAATCCATTCATGGCTCATCTTTCCTTTAAGTCTTAGCCAAACTTCCCTCTTATTTTGATAGAATCTCATCATGTTGCCGCATCAATTTTCCCTATTTTTTCAACATAAACCAGTTTATATCTTTATTGGTGATAGTTAAGAATTTGGAGTGACAATTTTAACCAAGCCAAATCAAATAGGACAATTATCCAATGAGGCTATTGTGGTTGCAAGAGAACATTTAAGTGTATTGAATGCTTTCAAGAAGGGCAATTTTATAAGATCCACTTATCGAACAAACTAAGGTCCGGTTTCGAGAGGTGTTTCAAGCGCGGTCAGGGGTCTTATGATTCTACCGGTTATGGTTTATCGGGGTGGTCGTTGGACGTCCTTCCTTACCTTCACCCCTTTTTTTAAGTATAAAAAAAACAAAATTAAAAAAAAAAGAAACAAATTACAAAAGTAATATTGACTCCAAATTAAATTCAACAAATTTTTGGTTTAATTTTTTAAGATTGGCTAAAGAAAAACGTTATATTATACAAAAAATTATTACCTAAAAAAATATTTATACATATTGGTGTGATCTAACAATGTCTTCTATTTCTAAAATAAAAGACTATAAGTAACGATACTTTCATCAAATTATTATTGTCACATATGAAAAATATTCTAGTTAAAAAAACTGTGTAAAGTATTTTATATTAAAATATATTTATTATCATGCAAAAAATTTGATAAGTAAAAGATGTTGCTGCCCAGGATCGAACTGGGGACCTTTAGTGTGTAAGACTAACGTGATAACCACTACACCACAGCAACCTGTTATGTAAACAATTGATTTTTAAATATTATATTATTTAATTAATTGGAATCATCTACCTTTCCTTAGTTGTCACCATCGTTGCCTTGCGCAAAACTCCGCAACAAAACAAATCAATTTTTTTGGCTTTTTTTCATAATTTCGGACTCATTACGCAATTGAGCTGTGAATCCTGATTATGATCAAGGGTTAGGGTTTCTTTTCGGATTGGGATTTGGTATTCAATGGCGAGAATGGCGAGGAGTTGCATACAATCGTTGCTGAAGTTGGTGAATTCTGTAATAGGAATGGTTGGGGTTGCCATGCTTTTGTACGCTTTGTGGATGCTTAGGGTTTGGGGCAATCACACGGGTCATTTTCCTCATCCCTTCATCGGTCCCGATACCCCTGTTCCATGGTCAGTGCAGCGCTCTCTCCTTCTCTCTCTGTGCGTTTATATATGTGTGTGTGTGTTCAATCAGGATAGGTGAATTGCGCTTTTTCTATGTGGGTCAATGTTTCTCTTCTGCGTAAAGCTTGTATTTTTATGTGGGTCAAACTGGTAAACCTATCTGTAAGAGAATTGGGCGGAAATTTGAGGCTTCCCTGGAGGTTTTTTTTTTTTTTTTTTGGTTTTGTTTTGTTTGAGTGCAACCTATCTGTGCAGCTTAGGGACCATTTTGGGTTTACCTTGGGTGCTAAAATTACCATGATATGTCTAGTGCACTCTGGATTTTTACCATGATATGAAGTTCACCTCATCATAGTTGCACCTACGATGAGGACCCGACCCTTGGCTGCAGCACCATTGGCCAAAGGTGACACAGTAATCCGGGAAATGGCAACAAGCTAATGAGGTTGACAATGCAGGCTTCTGTTTGAGTATATTACAATGCTATGTGGTGGGGCGGGGGCTGTTGACCAAATCTTCAGCATAAATTGTCCAATTTTGTTTTCCAGATCCTGAGGTTTCTACTTGTTGTTTTCGTCACCCACATTTAGTATTGACCCTTAGCTATATCCCTCCGATTTTTCGTTGACCGATAGTTGAGAATCTGGTGTCTCAATTGGGAATGCTTAGGCTCCAGCAGATGTTAGTTCACTATAAAGCCTGTCCTAGTCCTGCTAGTGTCGAACCAAAAATAGATAATATATGACTCAGACACAAGAAGAAAGAAACTCTCTAATTGGATCATGGGTTATATTTTTCCTACTTCTTGATCCATTTATAATTGTGCCCGGGTTCATGTTCTATTGAGTTCATGTTCATGTTTATGTGCAGCTTGGGGCCCATATTGGGTTTTGCTTGGCTGCTAAAATTACCATGATATGTCTGTTGCACTCTGGATTTTTATCGTTGGGCTCATGTCGTATTGATCTACAAACTACAATTTGTTTACAGTCCCATTTATGCTTTGCTTTGCCTGAAAATAGATGACTGCATCACCGTCACCTTCCAGAAAATTAAATTAGTATTTGTTTTTTGTTACATATTGAACAATTAAAATAATGCCTTTCTTTCTGTTATTGTATTACAAAAAATGCAGGTTCATCTATACTTTTCTTGGCCTTGGGGTCACTTTGTGTGTGATCACATGCTCAGGTCACATTGCTGCGGAGACTGCTAATGGTTGCTGCCTTTTTTTCGTATCCTTTCCATTAATTGGTTTTGATTGGTGTTTAATGATCTTCTACTTTCTTCTATTTTTCTTTTAAAGAAGATGCTACTTTTATGAATATAATTTTGATTCATGTTTGCTTAAAAAGGTAGAATGCTGATTGGTGCTCTGTTGTTGATCTTGCTGAATTTTCTTGAATTTTGTGTTTATAAAACTAAAGGGTTTAGCATTTATTACTTGAAAAAATAATTGGATAAAGAGGTAAGTATAGTGTGTTTCTGTAAAGGAAAGTGCATATTTTATTGCCAAACTTTCTGTTTAAGTGCTTTGTATTGTTCGTTGGCTGTTTCTCACACAACTGGATGGCTAGACCGTTGACCACCACCTTGTAAGGCTGTCAGTGTCGTCTTTTTCATCCAGCTAATGAAAAGCACAGCTTGAAAGCTCAATTCCTAGCTGCTAGAGCTAAATTTAAGGCTACTACCTTAGCAGTTCTAATAGCTCTTTTGAATTAGCGTAGGGAGGATGAAAGCTCTATAGGACAATAGCTTTAGGAGAGGAGTAACTCTCTTGCTTAGGAAGGTATTTAATATAAAAGAATTGTGGATCCTAGAGGCAAATCGAAGGGTTGTCCATTGGGATTAGGCATGGACGAGCCTCGACTGGGCCAGCATTGATGAAAAAATGAAAAAATAAAAACTTCTCTCATCGCATCATTAACTGGCGTAAGATTAAAGATCAAGTCCAGGATTCGAGTCAAATCGACATTCCCTCATCTCAGGTTGAGGCAAGGAATTTAATAAAATGTTTGTTGTTCAATATCTCGGTTGTTCAAGAAATTGGACTAGCTGTTCCTCTGACCCGGAGTGGATTCTAAGAGAAGGGCAGAGCCTCACCTTGCAGAAAGAAGGTGTTCGTTGTTAGGACAGGTTCAAACTGGACTAAAGGGGGAGGAATTTCTGACTCTGATCTTCCTGGGGATTCATCATTGGCTAAGGTTTTTGAATCAAAGCATGGGCATCCGCAACTAAGAGGGAGCAGTAGATCGTCGATTGGAGAGCCAGGTCAGTAAACTTCTATTGGAACTTTTATTTTTGATTGATTCGACTAGAGGAGGACTCCTAGTGACAAACTTGTATAAAAGGGCCTCCATAGAGAAGCAGGAGATATAGGAGTCGCCAGCCGAATCGACTAACAAATGATGCTAAGCGCTTTATTATTAATAACCATAGATTGGATAGGATAGATTGTAGTCCCGTCTTTCTATCGTAAATTAAGCAGTGCCATGGATTCGTGAGTTCATTCTTCGTTCAACAGTTGGGAGTCAATATTCTTAACTCTTTTCGGCAAACCAAATCTCCTTTAAGGGTTCAATGAGTTTAGCTATCACAAATTTTTCTTCTTTGGGTTGGGCGTACGAGACTTGGTTGATTCGGATTCTCTTTCATCAATTTCTTACCTTTTAGGCTGTGTTTGGAACTAAATAGGATAGGTAATCGATGAAAGAATTTGCCCACCGCATCGTAGAAAAAAAAAACAACAATCTTCATAATTTTCGTGTGAAGAATGAGTTCATCAAAATCGGGTGGAATGAAGGCCCATGCGACACTCGGCGTTAACACTTTCCAATTTGGAAATGCTAACTATAGTTTCAATGGTAACGGGAATACGCCTGATGGCGAAAACATACAAAGTGACTCTTCCATCGCTTAGATTTAGGGCGATAGTGTGCATCACAGATATGAGAAGAAACTCCCCTCAATCAATAGGTCAAAGACAAAAACATAGTACTATTTACATCTTATTCCCTCCTTAACCAGTATACCTTCCTGGTTAGAAGGAATGCAACGATGCATCTCTCCTTAGTATAATGGTCGAATACTAAAAGAAGCTAGAGTAAGGTCTAATTGAAAATGAATAGAATTCTTGTCGGCTTTACCAACTACTAATTCTAGTGCATGAATGAACTCGTTACTTCGGTTTCAATCTTTAATGCTTTGATGACTTCTGTTAAGTTCAATAGAGAGAATTCTATTTATTGGGCTCGATTTGTGGAAGACTTTTTGAGAGACAAAGGCCTGTATGATCACCTAGTATCAGAGAAGTCTAGGAAGACTGATTCATCTATCTTTGGGAGGTATTATTAGGTCTTCCCTTCGGTATGTGATATCAGTATGTAAAGTTCATTCCTCTCAATAAGTCGAATTACTATATAAAAAAGATTTGTAAACCATAGGACTTTTTGTTTGAGTAGGAATATTTAGGTTTTTCTCGTTCCTTCTCTTCGATAAGAATATGAATTTGAAATGATACAAATTCCTCTTCATTTTGGGGATGGAAAGTTTGTCTTGTGTTAGATTTGTTTCATCGATGGGTTGTCCATGGGTCCTTTCTCAAGAAAGATCAACCTAACAACAACTTCATTCTTTTTCTATGGATAAACGACACCATTCGAGTTCGGTTTCTCGATTAAGAGGATAAAAAGTACGATTGATAGAATAAGGGGATCGAACAAGTTGATCGAGCTAGGGGAGTGATTCATCCTTCCCAAATGCAGGATACAACTCTCTGTTGTACTATGCAGAGTATCAAAATGAATCAAAAGTGGAACCACACTGAGAATTAGTAGCATAAACAAAGATGGATTTGTGAATGAGAAATATAAGTTTTCTATATTCATGTCAACTACAACCATTGTCAGAAGAGAGAGCTTTAATCTGTTTCCGTCATCTTAGAGGAAATCATCTTAGAAACTTGGGCTAGACAAAACAAAGGTACTCTGAAGGTTAGCTAATGATATTCTTTCTTCAATGAATTTCAGGTGTCCCCTTTTCTAGGTTTTCTTTTGCTCTACTTCTAAGGATAGATAGCTTAGGTTGGATATAAATCCTTCTGCACATGCCATTTTAGGATTCGACAAAAGGCTTCAAGCTCAACAAGGTGATAGCTATATTAAGGAACAGGAACATATCCTACCCGCATCACTTTCATCTTGCCCTTTCACTCGCATGCTTTCTAGCTGTAACTGTCTGCTGACTCGCTTCGTACATTCTGCTCTCGCTCTCTCTGGGGATTATTCTATTTCAACCCAGAAAAAGTATGAAAAAGCCAGTTTGATCTTGAGTGATAGCTATTTTAAGGGCTGTTCTCCCCTTGTGGTAGACTCTCAACTTCAATGGAGAAAGAACATAAGTGCCTTCAAATATTAATTGTTGAATTTCTTTAACTCGGTCTTTGCCAAGAGTAGGATACCAAAAACATAACACTAAAAACAAATTTTCAACCTCGATAGACTGGTGAGGCAAAGATCATCTTTCCATAGCAATTGCTTTCTTTCTGATCTTCTACACTACTTCTTTCTGAATGAGGCCCTAAGGTTATCTTTTGTTTGAGCCGGTAGCTAAAATAAAGTCCTCGCTTTCTCTTGAACAAGGGAAGGGCAGCATAGTATTAACTTCAATTAAAGAAGCTCAACCTTGAAAAAGAAAGGTGGTAGGCCGAAGAACTGTTGAAGGCTTCAACTTGGCCACTGAAGAAGCTAAAGGGCTGTTCTCCTCAAACAATAAGTGGGAAAGGGCTCCTAATGGCACAACTGACAGTTTGATCTCTCCCTCCATTTGCTTTCCAGGCAGATGAGGCTTTTTTGATTATCCTAATCATGCGATGAGCGTAACTAAAGCATTTATGAAACTGTCAGATGGATTCACTCATCTATTCTAGTAGGAATGAGGGAACGGACTCATCGCTCTCTCCCCATAGCCCAAAAAGAGTGGGGGAGAGAGCATATGAGGTAGTGATCGAATGAGACAATCAATCTATGAAGTCCGAGTACTACAGAGATCATTGAATTGCTGGAGTTTGACTCTGACTTTGTTAACTCCCTCTTAAGTGAGTGAAGTGACCCATCTAAATGGGATGTCAAGTTGTAGAGTTAATGGTGAACTTCATCTACCAATAATGGTTTTGCTAAATGCTATTTTTAACATTATGTATGAAGGTGGTCTACACACTTTCTAATATTGTGCATCGAGATGAGCAAGCAAAAATTGTGATTTAGCAATGCCTTCTTGTAATCCATAACTTTGACAATGCAATTTCAATGTCTTTCTCAAGAGTTTCTATTCTGTCCCCTGATTAGCGATAAAGAAACTACATCTTTTTAGTTCTTAGTCATATAATTGGCACTTTTAGCTTCTGAAACTATTGAAACTTCTACTATCTCTTATTTCCTGTCTTCACTAATGTTAATTCTTAGAGACACATACGATATTAGTTTTTTTTTTTTTTAGAAGGAAATTGTAGATTGTGAAGTTGGCTCTATGGAGTACTATTATAGAGAGTAAATAGACATTATAACTTCACTGTTGACCTTAAGTGACTGTAGTATATGGTGTTTGTCCTTATGCTTGTCATGCTGGAAGGTGCAGTGACTCTGGATGTATTTCTTAACGACCACTGGGAGGAGGTAAATTCTAATAGCTTACTTCATTCTTCATTTTATTTGTGATGTTATGTATAGTACAATGGAGACAGTCTAATTATGTTTGTGATAATTTTTCTATTTTGATATGACCTGATATCAGGACTTCCCAGAGGACCCAACTGGGAATTTTGAAGCATTCAAACATTTTGTCAAAAGAAACTTTGAGATGTGCAAATGGATTGCCTTGTCTGTTGTAGCTGTACAGGTCTCTCTCTCTTTCTCTCCCAACATATGCACACACACTTACACAGAGAAATCCGCACATGCAAATAAGCTCCAAGGCACCACACACACATGCACACTCACACAAGCATATAGATGCACACACACACACACATACTCGCATACACACAAACCGTTCACACTTGTGTGCATGCCTTACAAAGATAGAAATCCATTCACATTGGACTGCTATCCTTTAGTTAGTAACTGTGCCATCATTTCTGAGTCTGAGTTAAGTTTTTCTGTCAGTTCTTACTGAATCTTGAGGCAGATATTTAGACATTCGAGAGTCATTTTGGAAGTCTGCGTTGCATCTGACATGTGAGGTGAATTAGTTGAAAATTCCATGTCTATTGTCTCCATGCTTGTAATCGTTTTTGTTCAATTGTCTCTTCCTGACCTCAGTTCCTTCTTTTGAAGTCATCAGATTGATTCACCATCATGTTCTGCTATGAATAATGCCCTGAAAATTAGCTAATTTTATGAACATGAGGAAAAAGTATGTTCATCTCCATTACATGAAACCCATTAGTTCTCATATGGGTTTTCTCCTTGATGTTTACATTTTTTTTCATCCTTTTTCTGGTTATGAGTTGGATCTTTTTAGATAGAAATTTCCTTTTTCATCTGGTTCTCATTGCCTGACTACCTATGCTCTTCACCTCCAGGGACTATGTTTGTTATTGGCTATGATTCTTAAAGCTCTTGGGCCACATCCTGAAACATACTATGAGAGTGATGATGATTATACTCCAGACAGTGTTCCCCTCTTGAGGAATTATGTCCCTCCACCTTCTTATGTTGTTGGTGACCCCCTCTATGGCCCCAAGAATGGTTCGTGGAATATAAGCATCAAACAGTAAGGTAGAGTTTCACCTGACCTTTTTTTTTTCTCTCTTTCTGAACCTAACTCAGTTTATGTACTTATTGGTGATATGGCAACTGTTGGGTTGGTACAAAATCTGTGAGCCATCTTACTTTATCTGGTATTAGTATTTGTAAAGTATTGGTCATCATATGGTCTTCATGATCTTGACTCATGTTTTTTCTAGGTTTAATACTCCTACTTCTACCTCCAAAGTGAACTCATCACTTTGCATTAGTGCACTTGCATGTCTTGCAGCTCAATTCCGAGCCATTTCAGCTTTTTTCTTTGTTACCTATGTTGGTGTTTTCTTAGTTTTGTTGATACATCTATGTATTGATACATGTGGGTGATTTCTCCATTTCTTCCTCTCTTTTTGGAATTTGCATCCTCTAGTTATGATTTTTTATGGATTTGTTTGTTGACAATCCATTATTTACTGTGGTACAACGATTGAATTCTCATGGCTGCGCCGCTTTGATTTTATTGGTTTGAGGTGATGACAAAATTCCTGGAGCATTTCTCATTCTTCTGTCTCTTTGTCCTATATCCGATGTCTTCTTTCTAATGGTCCTTTCCTATAATTGATTGCCTCAACATAACTAAAATAAGCTCTTTTGCATTGGTGATTGATATATTCAGTTCTTGCTATATCCGATGTTTTCTTTGTTGTACGTGTCTTTTTTACCCTATAGTTTTTGGTTTCTGGGGCTTCTCACTATAGGTATACTTTAATGTTAGTTGCTAATTTTTCTTTCGTTTTCCCATTCTATTTTCCAGGCTAACAGATAAATTCGTTGGGAGGATGAGGAAGTGCAGTGCATGACAATAAGAATGTCGTCTGATCTAGCAGCAGCCAGCCAACCTGTAAGGTTGAATATGGTAAAGTTTAACAGGCTTTCAAAGGTCGGTGGAATTTGTTGAAACTGTGCGTATGCTATGTAAATTCTCCACTTGTAATTCTGAAATTTAAGGTTGTGAATGATAGGATATATGTTCTTTTTAAAATCTTGTCAGAACAAGAGAAAGAACCCTAGAATATTTCTTTTTCACTCTTTTAGTAAACTCAATGCTTTCTCTTTATTGTTTAAGGCTCACCTAATTTTGATAAAACAACTCAACAATGCTATACAAATCATGTTCCACAATAGTTCTACAGTAAGGGTCATATTTTTTATTACATTAAATATCGTTTTAATATCTCAATCGAATTTACTTTAGATTTACTTTGATCCTTTGCATTACCGGTAATAGGTATCATATCATTCTTTTTCACTGATCCTGTATTAGTTCTGTGTACAGAACACTAATTTTTTTTATTCAATTTAGCTTCTATCGATGCTACTTTTACCATTTTACAGATGTACCCAGTTTTGATTTTATACTTCTTGGTTTTGCTACGCATCTATATTAATATATGCAGTGTGGGCTGGGTTTTCAACCACTAGTTTTCACTAGTTTAAAAAAAAAAAATGTATAGCTGGTCAAGTACATGATATGTTCGACGTACTCACCTCCTTAATCCTTCAATGTTTATGCTGTGAATAGCATCGTTTTCAATCTTTTCCTGCCCTATAGTAATTAGGTCAGATACTAAAAGTTTTCGTCTTTGGGTATCTCTTGAGCTTTGATATCTATTGCCTCTCTATTTGGATTTTCATACTTATCCAAGTTACTTTTTACATATGCAGTTTTAGTTTTACTTATCTTAAATCCATTTAGTTCTATAGCTTCTTCCAAGTTTCTAATTTGTTTTGTTTACTTGATTTTCAGCGCGATACCCTGAATGTGTTTAGTTAATCCATTTATAAACCCAAAAATAGACTTAAATAGAACCCTGTTGTAGGCATATAATTTGATTAGAAGTTAACTAATATGTTCTACAGTTGATTTCTCTAAATATTGTTCATTATGTTAATACTTTTTTTCAATTGGCCGTGTTACATCTCTAAGTAGCAAGCACTCTATCATAGATATTTTCTAATTGCATAAAAATCATGTTTTTCTTGTTCTCCCTGTACACGTCTTTCAATTAGTCTACTACATAGTTCAAACAATTGTAAATAACTTGTATTGTTGACCTTCCAGGCATAACTTCAAGCAGCTTCTCAGGTTAGAAACACAATTTAGTTATAAAGAAATACATCATGCATACCCACTGTTTGCAGAGTGGCATGAGGTACCCAACTGATCAAAGCTGACCCATAAAGACCCTTGACAATTCTGCCATTCCACCTGAGAAGAAAAAGATATAGATAGGCAATAAGAAAGAAGAGCGCCTGCTTAAGCTTTTCAGCAACACCCTCCCACCCTCCCCTCTTTTTTTTTTTTCTCTCTCCTTCCTTCCTCAGTTCCCTTTGAAGATTATTCTATGTGCTTGGTTTTGGGGACACCCGTGCTGGGTTTCATTGTTGTGTACGAACTATAATAATTTTGACGAATGAAATGAAATGGGAACATAATTTTCTCTCAATTTCTTTCGATACCTTTTGGTGGAGGATCTGTTGATATATAGTGTGTTCTATTTAAATTTGTGGCGGTTGATATATTGTGGGGGTGGTTAGCAAGAGATGTAATGGAAAATGCAAGAAAAAGCTAAAACTTTTCCCATGTTTGTTTAGCAAGAAAATAGTAGAAAGTGCAAGATAATTCTACTTTATGTTGGCCGAAAAAAGAGAAGTATGCTCTGTGAACATTATTATATAAAATCTTACGATTATCTTGAAAGAGCTCTTTTCTCATAGCATTGTGGTTTTGTGTGTTTGGTTTAAGTTCTTTAAGCAATCAACCTAGAAACTGTTTCTAGATTAGATGTCAAGTGTTCATCCGTCAAAATGATATATCATTGGTCGAGTTTAGGAATAAATCTCTCTAAGATTGTAATAAGTTTGCCCGTTATTTACCTCTATTAGACCCACTATAGGTATGATTCTTAAACATTGGGGACGATATTTTAACCCAAAAAGCCCGAGTCTACTTGTGGCATATCTCTGATGAAAAAAAATAAATTTGTGGTAGACAATGTGTGGGGTTACGTCGTCTTCCATTATGGGTTTAAATAGTTTAGCTTTAAAGATCTGCTAAAATCTTTCAATTATTCAAAGTCATGCCTTTCTTAAAGTTTCTAAAAATCTTCTTTTAAGAGCAATAGGGAGTCGTGTTTGCTCCATGCCTTAGTTTAATCTTATCAGTAATCCATTAAAATTGCAGTGCCACTAGTCTTCATGTCATAGTATTGCTATGACTAACACGACAGATCCACACACGATCCACTAAAAGGAAAGTATCATCTCCTTAAAGATTGGGAACAGTCAATGTCAATCGATTATGTGACAACACTTCCTGATGTTTAATTCCAAAAACTAGTCAGAGATTCTCCACTCTTCTTTGGTCCGTTTTAGGGTCGAGTGACAGCCTCAATCAAGCGGAAGTGCAATGTGTCTAGAAACTCGGGATCTTCAAGTAACATTCCAGTCGACACTAAAACAAAAAAATATTAGAGTTTGTCCGACATTGATATAATAACACTTTGACTGCTAATTAAGTTGACGCAATACTATTTATATGTATCCTTGGATAAATCTAATTTAGTTCCAATGCAACATATGAACATTTTCGGGTTATATTTGAGTAGTACAATAGCACCTCACCAACAGATTAAGTTGATGCTAAACTAATTTTATTACACTCGAATAAAATTCTTAGATCTAATGCAACATACGAAGAATAGGAGTTGTCTACGGTACAAAAAAAAATTATTACTATACCGCCATTTATCATATTTATGGATATTTTTATCACTGTTGTGGTCCTAAAGAAAAGTGATAAAAATAGTTATTACAACAATGATAAAAACATCTATAACAATGGTAAAAGCACAAACAAATGTAGTAAAACACTTACAAAAATAGTAACTTTTTTTGTACCGAAGAAAAGTGACAAACGCTAATATCACCCGCAAAAGTGATAATTTTTTTTAATTATAAAATGACCTATAAAAATTATAAAAATAGCAATTAAAATAGTAAATTTTAGAGATATGATACCGATTTTTTTTTTTGGTACTGTAGTCAAGTCCTTAATGCTCCGTTTGGTAGGGAGGATGGAAAGTAAGAAGGATACACTTTCTATCCTTTAAGGATGGAAAATAGGAAGTATACATTTTCCTTGCTTTGTGTTTGGTTGGATAGATGGAAAATAAAAATGACTATTTTTTTTTGTGTTGGCTAAGATTAGGGGTGACAATAAAGTCGAGTCGTGTCGTGTCAGATTCGTATTGAGTCATTACGAGTTTGTGTTGAATATTAGTCAAACCTGACTTAACTCATTTAACTAATTGTGTCGTGTCGAGTTGCGAGTTGATTTATTTATTTTCGTATCGAGTTCGAGTCTTATCATTGTGTTAAATCGAAAATTTTTACCCTTAGTTAAGATGGAAAAAATATTTTTTTTAACTTAAAATTTTTATTTTTTATTTTTTTAAAATTAATTTTTTAAATTTTTTAAAATATGTATACATATTTTACCATTATATTTTTATATGAAATTAATTTATACATAAGATATATAGACAAATAAGATACATCTCAACACAAATAATTAACTTTTCATCCACTTTTCTTTCGATTTTGGAGGGATTAATTTTGGTGAGTTGGAAGGAAAGTTAATCAATCCAATTTTTCATCCTTCCTACTTTTCTTCCTTACCAAACATGATATTTTATTTATCCCTTTAACTTTTCATCCTTCCAAATTTTTATCCTTTCACTTTTCTATCGTACCAAATGAAGCATAAGATTATTGTTTTACATAAGACTAGAAATATCGTAGTAAAAAAAGACTGAAATGATAAAAAGAGTCCATCAGATGATACTTGCATCTAAGTTGCAAGCCGGGCAAGTGGTCACATGGAGAGAGATATAGGTTCTGACACAGAACAATACAACACACATTTGAACTATCCTTAAATTGTTTTCTTTTTATTAATTTTTTTTTGTCT